AGCGAGACTGCACGCAAGAAGGTCCTTCTTCAGCCACAGAGTGGTAAAGGCATGGAACGCCCTACCTGTGGATGTCGTCATGTCCTCATCCGTGGACTCATTTAAGGGAAAGCTTGACCAGTACAGGGATATGTACCTCCACAGCATCAGAAACTAACGAACTCCCCCCCTGTGCCACCCGTCCCATCCAACGTTTTATGTTACAAAGCATGCTACTCCCTATATTTTAGTACCATTACGTTTTACAATTTTCGCTATCTCCTGACCGTCACATATGCGCTTGCTTTGATATTACTTGGTCCATTCATTGCCGTACTGGATATTGTACAATCTTGACACAGAAAGCATTCACAGACAAATTCATACCAGTGACCAATGCTTGTTGTATGTAATTACTTACCTAATTTTTTTCACACTTGCCTTACACATTGTTTTTTTATGACGTTATTGTAACCAAAAGGGAGTTCAAAGGCGTTCGCCTACTTTTCCCTTAATAAATCTGATCTGATCTGATCTGATATGTAAGCCGGCGGAAGTAACAATCGGGAGATGGCACCCAAAAAATCCGTTACCTAGAAATAATACCTTTAACAGTGGACTCAAACGCCTTCAGGCTATATCAGCGGTTGCATGTCTACTTTCACGCACTACTTGGACGTTCCCCGACGGCCTAACATGGGCTGGCCGAACGAACATCGAGGTTACATGGACGATGGTCGCTGTTACCAAACCTTCTCCATCGTTAAACCCGTACACCTGAATATACGGCATACATTCGCATTATGACAGTTTATTACAAAACAGAATCGCTTTTAAATAGGATAAATCTGCACAACATGGGACAGGAACAGTTCCCAGGCATCTGTCAAAGACATGGCATTGAGGCCAAACCAAAGACGATACTGTACTGCAACTATGTGAGCCCACACAGCTCAACCACATACAGGGCCTCCCTCATGGAGTTTGTTTTTCAGTCTACTCCAGTATGCCTCAATGGCATTGGTGTGCCGTCCGGTGGTAGGGTCCTTGTAGTTCTTTGAGTGGTTAACAGAGAAATGTAGATAAACTTCTCAGGGAAGACGATTATACGCCTTCCACTCGTCCGTTACCACTATACTGCCTTTGGCGACCCATTTTGTAATAACGGAACGGACAGCGGGCCAACTTCGATCATTCACCCGTTCAAATAAGGCTTTACGTCGGCCAGTATCGTACATCCCGACCAGCCACCAGCCATGAAACCCCTATTACCACCTGTCCCGTAAGACAGGCTGCTTTGGTTAGGCGGATTTTTTGGGTGCCATCTCCCGATTGTTACCCCGGCGGAAAACAGACAATCCAAGGTAATTGGCTAAGGAAGGCCGGCTTAAGCAAGACGGAATGCGGCAGGCTGACTTAACCTTTAACCTAGCCCCAGCCCTCATCCCAACCTCTGCCCTAACGCTTATCTCAAACCCAACCCCAGACTTGACCATAATCTCAAGTACAGTCACTGTCTTAAGCTTAGCCAAAAAGGTAGCCCTAATATAACATACTTCTCATTTTATAGCCATAAAAACATGGACTGACGTATCCAATAGTTACCAATCGCCATTCCTCCTACCGAGATGCACATACAATAAGCGTGCATTTTTGGCCGGGCAGCGATACACTGGTCAACACTGTTCTCTTCGCTGAACAATCAAGTAGCTGACTCCCATATATTTAGTGCATTTTGACACTTCACTTGAATCTGTCCATCGGCATTCTCCGTGGTCGGTCGTGTCACACTATGGTCCGCCATGGATTCTATCCTATTTACTGAGGCCTATTATCACAGGACAAGGACACAAATCTGTGCAAATGAAGAGGATGCCATCTTTGTCGCCACTCACGGCGTCCGTCCGACCTGAGTTGTCACAGCAAAACTGCTGGATGCCTAAACACCCGCTGGCAGTCTGACTTGGCGTTACAAAAGGTCGCGGTGCTTCCCTCACGGATCTTGGCAACACTTATGACATTGAGGTACTTTCGAGCGGAACTGGGCGAAACTATAAATTCCACGAAAACAAAGACGACCGTCTCGGGCTTTGAAGCTGGAGATATCTACCCGGCGATCGTAGACTATTAGGCATATTAACTAGTTGGCAGTTTCTGACCGAGCGTACAAGGTTAAATGCAATCGGCCATCAGATTAATTAGACGTCAACAGCCTTCACTCGGCCTTGTTAAAACTTCTTGGATCATCTGAAGACCGAGTTGTGGGTATAACAAGTCGCCACCAGGATAATACTTGTACATGGATTTGAGGCACGGCAAGTACACCCAGAAGATATAATTTACCTGGACGTAATTGGCCGATAGTTTTTGCGCTCCACTCTCCGAATCCGATTTTCAAATCACGTCTCCACTAAAGACCGTACAGACGACCAATCAACTATGCCTTCCTTACTCACTGATTGAGATGACGCAGTCATACTTTGTGCCTGCCTGGCAGTAAATCATTCAGGATGTCATTTCAACAGGAACCGATCTCAGTCCGCAACGACGCGGATGGACCTCGTGATCGCTGAACTCGACAGCATCTCTGGTCCTGTGATTGTGGCTGTCTGCTTTCGTAGTCGCCAATGCGGTTACATGCGCAGGCAGTCCACGTCAATCACTGCTTACGCGCGAGTGACCTAACATCAGCTCGTGCGTGCCGTGACGCCGATCGGTATTTCTGTGTCTATCGATTGGTCGCAGTCGGACAAAGCCCAGATGCATGCACTTATCCCCGGGGCCACCTGACTAAAACTGGTGGTATACGGTTTATGAGAACAACTGCCGTCACTGTCTGCTGTCCCGCCTCTACGCCCTCTCGCCGCAGTTAAAGCTGTCCAACCATATCCGTCTTCCCTGGCTTTTGATTCGATGAAAGCTCGAATTTTTGAGACATCACGCCTCGGCATAGTTTGTGGGCCCAGTCTGTCAAGTAGTACAGCTTCGTTTAAAGTTAACGATTCGCGACGTGTTGAATCTTCAACATGAAGCCTACTGAATCAGATAGGATGAACACCCTTGTAAGCACGAAGAACGACGCCCTGTGCCCAGAAGTAAAAAACTTTTTATGTTGTGTCAGGCAGCACCGGACATAGGAGAACGAATGAAGGTTGCCTCGGTTTGTGGAATTTTAAGCTTTTTAAGCCTGGCGAACATACAACTTGCAAGACAGTAGTAGCATAAACTACCACGTTGGAAAATCAGGTTGTACAAGGCTGAACAGTATAAAAATCACTGTACTATCCAGAGAACCGTCGTTCAATGTTCTCACTCTTTAGTTTGATCACAGCGACACTCAGGACGATAAAAGTAACTATCACCAGAATGCAGGATGTGAATATGACAGACGGATGGGTGCTATCCTCATCAGTCGTTCCAAACTGTCTTTTAAGGTAGTTAAGGTCGAGGTCAGCTTCACTGGACCGCCGGCAGGTATAGTGCCTTCCTGCTCGCTTGTTCGGCAGAACTATGACCTCACAAATCTTCGAAGAGCCCCCACAGATTTTGCCCTTTGTTGGCAGCACCGTGCGATTATTCTGAAAAGTAGTCAAAGAAAGAAGAACAAATGCTTTTTTGCTGTTGGACGGAGGTAATGTGACATCCAGAATGCTAATTTATATTCTTGTTGTATTTGCTACTAACTGTTTGTTAGTAACGATACTCTGCTCTGGTCGCGCTTTCTTTGTTTCTACATCCCAACTTGTCGATTCTCGTCGTTCTTTGTTCATCGTGCCTTGTTGTCGCTCGTTTTTGAGCCAAACACCACATGTTTGTGTCCTTCGCGTGATTGCTCATTTAATTACCCTGAATGCATGTCCACTTTTCAATTGATGTCCCGTCTTGTTAACTCTATCGTGCTCTGATAATCTTACCGTCATCTGACATAGCCTTTGACCTCGGGTGAATAAACCTTTTTTTTGGTGAATAAACTAGCACTGAATCGAGGAAATCCAGAAAATATTAACAAGTAGTGCTTTAAATAGTTATTAATTCCAACAAATTAGAGAGGGCGTTCGAAGAGGATGATAGCCACTAACTATCGAGCGGGTTTCGAGTCGCGTGGCGAGGCACAGCGCCAAGACAACAATAGATTAATATTAAGTTACTCCACACAAACGTAGCATGGAGATCTACAAGAAGCTCGGGCACAGGTTTTGTCGATTTTTCGCCGCTGTATGACGCGGTTGCGAGGGGTTAGACTCATTAATGGGTTCCCACCGTTCACTCAATGTGCTTTCTGGAACATAATCCTGTTTTCAATGTTCATTTTAGTAATTTCCACGAAAAAACTGATGTGAAAAGTTGGAACAAATTTCCCGGCCCGAGTCTTCACAGGTTTGGTTCGGAAGTTGGCATAAATCGTTGGATTGAAATCTACTGGTTTCAGTGAAGAAAGCGCGTACCATGTACATTTTGCCAACTGACAGCCGGTAGTGCATAAATACTTATTAACGCACTTCGCTCCCAGTGCAGGTACTGGAAAATAGTCATTTGGCAAAGTTAAACAAAATCCTGATTACCCAGTTGTGAAACATTCCAAAACCCTTGATCGGGACGTCCCGGCTCAGGGGGTTAGAATGTTGGCTGTGCCGAAGCCTTGCCCTTTCCGTCGAGGGTTCGGATGCCACCGAGGTCGCCAAATTTTTCACAATCAGCTGATTATTTAAACAAAAAATTGAAGAGGAAAGTGATGGGGTACTACTGATTGCGGTAAGGTGCCCTACTCATGGCCGATCAGGATGGTCGTAAATGCACAATCCTCTGGGAAGTCTATGAGAAAATATTCAAGAACAGGCGATCTGTCCATGAGCAGCATCCAAATTAAGAAATCGCCTAGTTGGCGTTTGTTGACGCTATATTGCACCTCACATCAGCGTCAAAGGCGCCCAACTGAAAACTGTGGACACCACGTACCTGGGCAGCGCCAAAATCGACGACGAGATGGTTCGTCGGATCTCCAAAGTTAGTCAAGCTTTCGTATGGAATCGCCACGGTCTCCAGCTCGACAGGAAGCTCAAGATGTACAAAGTAGTCCTCCTGCCGAAGCTGCTTCGTGGGGCAGGGACCTGAACGGTGTACAAGAAGCAGGCGCGGAAGCTCAACCACTTCCACCTCAGCTGTCTCCGGCGGATACAGAAGCCGAGACAACAGGACCAGATCTCGGACACAGACTTACTGGAGCGGACAAGAATCCTCGGCATCCCCGCCATGCTGAGATGACTGCGACTGCGCTGAAGCGGCCATCTTGTGAGGATGGACGACGAGTTACTACCCAAACAACTCTTCTATAGAGACGTCGCCACGGACTCTCGTCGACAAGAGGTCAAGTTCGGCGCTACGAGGACACCTTGGGGACTTGCTTGAAGCGTCTACAGACCGACACAGCAAAGTGGGAAATCCTCGTCCGGAAACGACCGGCTTGGAGGAGGATAGTAAAGAAGGGAGCAGCGATCTACAAAGCCAACCGCGTAATCGCCGCCGAAGTCAAATGCGAATCTAAAAAATCTCAACCC